CTCTGATGGCTTTGTCTTGTCCAGGTAAAGCTCTAAAGATGTCACTGCATTTGATTGGTGTGTCCTCTGTTGCTGCTCTCCTGGATTGTGTCTCAATCTGTCTCACCTCGTGCTCATTACTGATCTCTCCACTCTCACTCTCTGTGATGTAGAGCTCAGTGTAGATCTCATTCAGGAGTGTCGGGTTTCCCTGCTTTGCTGTTCCCTCATACAGACACTCAAACTTCTTCATCAGATTTGATCTAAATGTGCTGAGGACTTCATGGCTGGAAAATTAAATGACCACATTATTGCACTTTAGTCATGATAACTTTTTGAATTATTTTAAATACTTTTTAAAGGCATAGTTCAACTGAAATCGACAAACAAAAACATCTAGACAAAATACAGATCTAAACCAACACACATGACATTTAAACAAGATGAGCAAACAAAAACACAATAGAATGTGATGAGCCTGCTAATGTGAAGAGACACTTTCAAAACTTTCAAAACTGAAATATGTAAGAACTTCAGGTATCGATTTACCAAGAACGAACAGGAATCTACAGTCTCGGTGCACCACAAATACTGAGCAATAAAAAACGTAGTACTAAGGATTAGGGATGTCAATGTTCAAATATTGTTCAATTATGAAAACATTGTATTAAAAAGATCAAATGAAAGTAATAAAATAAACACATTACAGGTAACAGAACAAGTGGCCGGTCTGTAAGACTTAATGCACAGATATCTTTTCTGACACATCAGATTGGTTTTGTCCCATCCGTTGCTATGGTTATTTTCAGATTCAGTCCTGCAATTTAATGCAGTCTTCACTCCTAAGATTTTTCAGTGTGTACTTAGCAAGAAAAATACAACTTTTACTCAAATTATGAATGAAATATGCAGAAGTGAGCAAAGACGCTCCCTTGTAAACAATGAAGCTGATATCAGTTCAGTTCAGTTCAACCCAGTGGCAGCGTTTCACAAAACCATAGGGTATGGCAGTGGCATAAACCGGGGGTTTGGGGGGGGGGGGGGGGTGGGC